CTTTAAAATAAGAAAAAGTTAAGTTTCAGGCATTGTGTTCCAGATGCAATTCGATTGGTCAAACACCAGTGTTGAAGTAAAACGCACTTTATGCATACACTATCGTTAAAAATACAAGAAAGGAAAGAATTGGAAAACTTAACAGAATAATAGATTATTTAACTACTAAATAGGAAGTGTTCTAATACAGTAACACACCCTTGCCAAAGGCAAATTCAGTAAAATAGATTTGTCTCAGATGCAAATCCAGCAGCAGGAGAACCCCAGCTTTTAGCTGTAACAGAGAGAGAGGAATAAGAGCTTTCACATTCTGCTTCAAGATCCCAGCCGCAACTGCTACTGAAAAACTAAAAATCCTGGTTCCTAAGGAACTTGACCCCACCCATTCAAGTTGCTTTGATTTTTTTTTCACAAAAAAAAAACCCAAGGCTTCACAATCCATTTTGTTTATGGGCTTTGAAGCACACTGCTCGTACAGTACCTCTATCTCTACCTTCCTTCACAAAAAAAAAGCACCAGGACCAAATACACCACTTAAAGTCATAGTATAGTCACGCAATGAAGCAGGAGGTTTGCAAGCAGCTCACCAATGTACAGAATTGTACTTATGCTCTTTATGTTGAAGGCTGCATTCCAGATAAGCCATTTAGAGATAGGAGGAACTGCCGATGCTGGAGTTTGAGATAACAAGGTGTAGAGCTGGATGAACACAGCAGGCCAGGCAGCATCAGAGGAGCAGGAAAGCTGACGTTTCGGGTCTGGACCCTTCTTCAGAAAATTTAAGTCTTCATTCAGTGCATGGAAAATACATAGTACAAATGTGGGAGCTCTTCCTGTTCATTCTTTACATGTGAAACAATGACCAGAGTAATGGCTTTCAATACAAAATGAGCGAATTCCTGTTTTGTACAGTAATTATTTACACACTCTGGAAATTGTAATTTGAAGTCTGAGCTTTCTTTACTGGTCATTAATGAAATAAAGAATGCTTTCCTCGTAGAGGAAGCATGCAAGGGCAGCAGATAACATGGGAGCACCACCACCTGCAAACTTCTCTCCAAGCCATTCACCATCCTGACTTGAAAATGTATTGTCATTTCTTCACTGCTTGGTCAAAATCCTGGAATTCCCTCCCTAAGGGCATTGTGGGCTAACCTACAGCAGGTGGACTGCAGCGGTTCAAGAAGGCAGCTCACCATCGCCTTCTCAAGGACCACTAGGGATGGGCAAGAAATGCTGGCCCAGCCAGCGCCACGCACATCCCATGAATGAATAAAAAAAAAATCACTGCCCTCTGTGAAACCAAAAGCAGCTGGTTTAAGCCATCTGTCAAAAGAATTTTTGCTTTGCAGCCCAACATCAAAAAGTTAACATGAATAGATTATCGCTGAGATGGTGCTGGATGATTTAAAGGAGTTATTTTGCTTGTCTTATGGACCTCATAAATCATTAACACTGCTGTTCAAGTGAGTGATGAGCTTTGGGCAGTATTGACAAATCAAGATCACTTTTTAGAAGCTGCTAGCACTTTGATCCTTTAATAATTTCAAATTGAAACCGCAACCGTTGCTCTGGGTTTGGAGGAAGTGGTGGAGGGCCTGGGGACTGGGTGTGAGAGATTATGTTCAGCAACATGTATTGCAATCTGATTAAAATCTATTTATCAGATTATCCTAGAGTACCCTTTTCACCCCACCCTCCCCTAAAACTAGTCAAGCGTTATTCACTCATAGATATTGCACATCTTTTGGAGCTTCTTGATTAAGTGGCTCTGATGTGCTGCTTTATGTAGCTTCTGATCAGATGCTGATCTCTCAATCTCCCATTGTCAAATTGGAATCATTGGCTACAGATGACAGTACTTCCCTTTAAACTGTTTCTTTGTAGCCTTGTTAAGCCCAAGGATATGTATTAATATTGCACTTGAATAAGCAAGTGAGATGTCATCTGTTGAAAACTTCATGTAGTAATGTCTAGACCGGGTCTGTTCTGCTGTTTCAGCCATTACTTCTGAGGGAACTGAGCTGCGGTTAGTTTTCAAAATGTGCCCTATTAAATTAGCTTGGTTAAATAAGGAGCACATTCTGTTTTTTCAGTTCAGATGACTGACCCAAGATGGTAGCAGGGTAAGATGTTCCAGTCGGAGCTCCTCTACTCGCCAGTTTCTTTTCCTTTTTTTATTCTCCTCTTTGTCCTCCTTGCAGTATTTCTGTCTTCACCACTCCCCGCCCCCAAAAGGGAATTGAATCATGACCGGAGACCGGGCAGGAGCTGAGCGTACGGGCCACGCCCCGCAGCAGCAGCAGAATGGACCGAGTCATAGACTCAATCCCGGAACGACAACAGCAGAGTGAACATGGGCCAGGCCGAGTCCCAGAGCAACGGGCGGTCCGATAGCAGGGGAATCCCGAGTCCCAGAGCGGCACGAGGTGAAGCGAATCCCGGCACAGTGCGACTTACTTTGTTGCTGCTGAGTGCCAGTGGGGAGTGGACTGGAGGCTGGAGTGATGTGGGACAGTTGGTGGACTTGGGTCAGGCGCCACATGCTGAACTGCTGCTGTTTGGAATTCTTTACTGAACTTGAATGTAAATCCTTTTCACAATGTTATAACTACATAATTTCTACCTTATTCTTAGATACTAAATAATGCTACTGCTTTCCTTTTAATTCTCTTTTGTAGAATAACTTTTACTCTGTAGGATTTATACCTAGGCATTTGTACCTAAGATGGCACTTTTAAAAGGCTACCATTGTAAAAACTTCACTGTACTTTGGGACGACACGGTGGCTCATTGGTTAGCACTGCTGCCTCACAGACCTGGGTTCAATTCCACCTTCAGGCGACTGGCTGTGTGGAGTTTGCACGTTTTCCCAGTGTCTGCGTGGGTTTCCTCTGGGTGCTCCGGTTTCCTCCCACAGTCCAAAGATGTGCAGGTTAGGTGGATTGGCCATGCTAAATTGCCCGTAGTGTTCAGGAATGTGTAGATTAGGTGGGTCATAGGGGGATAGGTCTGTGTGGGATGTTCCGAAGGTCAGCGTGGACATGTTGGGCCGAATGGCCTGTTTCCACACTGTAGGAGATTCTATGATCTATGTCCTCCTGTACTGGAGTACAAGTGACAATAAAGGATATTCAAATTCATATTCATATTCAAATACAGGAGCACAGAATCCACACTGGCATTTCAGTGCAGAACTGAAGGGCAGATTTTTTTATCAAAAGCTTGTACTTCCAGTTGAACTGAAGACCTGCCTTCCAGTTTGTGCAATCTTACACGGATGCTACCAACCCACCGTCAATCTTCAAGTCCAGGGAGTGTCTTGCTGATAGCTGCAACAACAAATTACATTTATTTGGCACCTTTTAAGATAGTAAAATGTCACAGGATCATTATCAAACTGAATGTGATGTTGAACCACACAAGGAGATATTAGGGCACGTCGGTACAAGAGTTAGGTTTTAGGGAACGTCTTAAAGGAGAAAAGAGTATAAGAGGCGTTTAGGGAGGCATTTTCAAAACTTTAGCCTAAGCAGCTGAAAGCGTGTTTGGCATTAGCAGAGGAGTTACATTTGGGCATCCACAAGATGTCAACACATGAAGACCTCTGAGGGTTGTAGGCCTGAAGGTAATTTCAGAGATAGGAGAGCAGATTAACTACTTCCTTGCTGGATAAGGCAACATTTGCCCTCAGTGTAGAAGTCACCGCACATGTCAATTAATTGTCCATCCAGTGCAATGAGCTACAATAATTTCAAGTCTTTCTGTTGCTTTGGTAACTAGGGTTATCTGATTTCTATCATAGCAATTTTTAGCTTCTCTTTATTTAAAAAAAAACTGAATAAGTTGCAAATGGACAACTAGAGCATTTACTTGAAAAGGACATAATTCTGACTTGATGATGCATAATTTAAAGGGAGCTGTGAATGCTGTAAACCAGTACAAATCTGAGTGCACAATGTATCCTCTAAATGGAAGAAACTGAATGCTGAGTATCTGAAATGTTCAGCTGATCAAAGCATTCTGCCTAAATGTTAACCCATTTTTCTCTTCCAAATGCTGACTGAGTATTTCTAGCAGTTTTATTATCTATTTAATTCATTACAGTAGGCTGTGTATGTGGTGCAGTGCTTATTTGGCCAACTCTATTAAAACATATGGTCACTTCCTGAAATGGCATTGCCATCCCTGTTTTTCCTGGGCTACTTCATGATTGGTACTGTGGGTCCTGATGGATTGTTTAACAGTTTGTTAAGACCACTGAGATATTCAAACCAGATATTGTGACAAGTGTGGAGCAAATTACTGCCTATGCTGGAATCTGTACTGAAAACAAAAAATACTGAAAATCACAGCAGATCAGGCAGCATTCGTGGAAAGAATAAGAGAGCAAGCACCAAGATGAAGAGTCACCTAGACTCAACGTTAGCTTGCTGTCTCTCTTTCCAAGGATGCTGCCTAACCCGCTGTGATTTCCAGCATTTTTTGTTTTCATTGTAGCAAGTATGTTGTCATTGTTCAGATATATTTTATACAAAAAAGCACGCAGTATATTTTGAACACTTAACCCAGTAGTTTACAGCATCGTACATGCAGAAAGGGAGATGGGTTGATGCATGCTGTCTGTGCTGGCTGTTTAATAGAAGTATCCAGTTAGTCCTGTTCCTGTGTTCTTTCCCCATATCCCTGCAGTATTTTCCACTTAAAATAGCTGTCCAATTCCCTTTTGAAACTTATACTGACTATGCCTCTGTTGCCATTTCAGATCATCACAAGTTGCAATTGTGAAATAAATTCTTAACGTTCTTCCTCATTTCTTTTGCAAATTATAATAAGTTTATCCATCCACCTCCGATTATTATCCCTCCTGTCAGTGGAAACAGTTTCACTAAAGCCCCTCATTATATTGAACATCTCGGCTAAATATTCCCTAATCTTCTCTGCCTTAATTCAGGCTTCTGCTCATTTGAATGTGTTTTTGCTTTCTCTTTTGTCTGCAGGCATAAAGAAAGTTACTTACATGTCAGATAAGTACCATGACATGCCAGAAATGAAGGCCTCGAAGCTAATGTTGGACATGGCTGGTGTGGAATGCAGGTATGTAGAGGAGTTAAATTTGCATGGGATGCAATATTGTAATCTAAATCCTCCAGATGCTTTTAGAACCAAGTCAAAGGGAAACAGTCTGCAGGAATAATGCTTCACTGTGCTAATATAATATAGAGCCTTTTCTTGAATTAAGTCAACTGGCAGGTTTAATACAGTCACAAAAACACAGACTGGGTTGTGGTTAGTGATTTTGATGATGTGATGTGTATTTCATGAATGCTGACTCGCAATGTGTAAGGCTGATCACCTGGTTCAGCTACTGTTCAGTGTCCATTTGTTATACCCCCCCCCCCGCCACCACCGCCCTCCCCAGTTGCCAACTCCCCATGATGCCAGATCCTCTGAGACCACAAGATAAATCAGTGAATTCACTAACTGGCTTGAGGCACTGCACTCTAGGCCAAACAATCATGTCCTTTTAAAATGTCTGTGAGGATTTATCAGATGATCTCTTTGACCTGGTTTCTATTAGCCTGCTAAGTTTACGTCACCAACCTACAATTTCCAAGTGCTTGAGATGCTGTAAATTAATTCTTCGTGGAGCTTTCTGCAGCTTCTGTTTTTTTTTGCCTATATACTTGCAATGACATGAGCAGTGAGGAATGCCCGCATAGATCACAGCTCCCAATGAGAAAGGCGCAGGCTTTAGCGCCTACTGAAGGAGGCACTAAACTTTGTCTTTGGCCCATTTGTGAAAAGATCCCTCTGATCTCTGACACAAAAACAAAGTTGCTGGAAAAGCTCAGCAGGTCTGGCAGCATCTGTGGAGGAGAAAACAGAGTTAACTTTTCGGGTCCGGTGACCCTTCCTCAGAACTGATGGTGGCTGGGAAAACGTCAGTTTATATGCAGAAAATAGGGAGGTGGGTGGGGTAGGGAGTAAACAATAGGATAGAGCCCAAAGAGAGAGAAAGACAGTTGGGCAGACAAAGGAGTTGCTAACAATCAGGCTGGGAGGGTGAATAGTTGTTAATGGGGACTGTTAGTGACGAGATCCCTCTGATCCCTGTTGTCCCCTTCTTTGACATGTAGTAAAACTATCCTACACCAACTGGATTTAATTTACTCTAAATGCATTCTCCATAAATCTATCTTTCTGCATCAGTTCAAGTATGATATTGTATTTTTGCTGCTTTTCCTTTGCTTTGGAACTGCACACAGGTTCCTCATCCTAGTATTGATGTTGCTTTCCTTTTATTCTTCTTTCTACACTAATTCCTTTTGGCATCACTATTCTGTTTGAACTAAACATTTGTGGTGCCTACTTTGAATCTGTATTTGTGCTTTCTGTTTGCATTTCTGGCTAGAATGCATCTGGGTATACTAGGTAAAGATAAAGTCTCTATAGTCCCTAAGAACCAGAGGACATTAGAGACAGCCAACTGAAGGTAAAGGCAATGATTTTTTAAAAAATTACAACTTGAGAAAGGGTTCAGGGTTATCACACCCTCATGATAACCTCAGCGCAGGAATTGAACCCATGCCCTTGGCTTCACTCTACATCACAAACCAGCCATTGAGCCCACTGAGCTAACTATCTGTTATGCTACATACTACTTACACCACAGAAAGAAACAGTTTTGCTCAAGGTCCTATCCACTGTTCATGCTCCACGTGAACCTTTTTTCCACCCCTACTGATCCAGCCCAAGCAACATATCCTTCTTTCCCTTTCTATCTTTGTACATAGCTAGTTTCTCCTGAAATACATCTCTGCTGTTCTCCTCATTAGTTCCTAGTGGTGGCAAGTTCCATATTCTAACCTCTTTCTGGGTAAAAAATTTTCTCCCGAATTTCTTATTGATGATTGCCTTTTATTTCTGGGCTGTAATTTCAAAAAAAAAACAATGTCATCGTATCTTCACCTATAATATCCCTTAAACCATATGCACTGCTTTCAGCATCAGGAAAATCGTGAGCTTGCTAATTGGAAAACTCAACAAGAG